GTGGGTGAGAGAAGCAGGCAGGTGCTGCAGGGCCTTGCAACCGCGCATTTCCAGCTTGCGCAGCCGAGTCAGAGCACTGATGCCAGCAGGGAGAGATGGTAGGAGACTGGATGTTATGATATCCAATGAAGTCAAACACTGCAGCTCACACACGCTTGCCGGAAGCTCTCTCAAGCATGAATTCTTGACTTGCGGCCTCCGCAGCTGCGGCAAAGAAGACCCAATGCATTCAGGGAGTCTTGACAGCTTCCCAGTATAAGCATCTGGATACCTCGCAACTCCCCAAATCAGCAAGGAGTGAAGGTGCGGCAGGAGAGGAAAGGGTGAGGGGAGGTCCTCAGCTTCATTCACCAGTTCCAGATTCAGCTGCCTCAGACGCGATGCACCCATGGCCGCTGCCAGGCTGCTTCCAGCATCCACCTTACTGAGCGTGAGAATCCTCAGGTGTGGCAGATCGGGCATGTTGCAGCGAGGAGCGAGCTGCGTGTCACTCGGCATGGCTAAGATCTCCAGGGAGGGAGGGAGGGATGCAGGAGGTTCAGCCAGCCGCTTGCAACGAATCAGCTCCAGCCGCTTCAGCCTTGTGCAACCATCCAGCCTTGGGACTGAAGAGAGCCGGTCGCAGCCATCAACCACTAAGATCTCCAATCCAGTGAGGCATGAGACGGAATCTGGAAGCCGTGCGATTTCAGAGCAGGAGCACAAGTGCAGGTGCTGCAGGTTACTCAGCATCCCTATGTCCTCAGGAAGTTCTGCAACCATGGAGCGATCAATCTCAAGATGTGTTAGGGCAGAGAGCTGCGTGAAGGAAGATGGGAGGCGCCGCTGCTCCTCACAATTCGCTTCCAAAAGAAGGGTTTTCAGGTTCCTGAGCGTTCCGATGTCATCTGGAAACATCAGCAGCGGTGACGGTCCAAGATACAGCGTCTCAAGAGCAGTGAATGAGCAGAATTCCGCTGGCAGCTCAAGAAGATCCTGGCAACTGAGGAGAGAGAGGGATTCCAGGGATGTGAGCTCGCAGAGGGAGTCAGGGAGGTATGTGATATACAACGAGTTCAGCTCCAACAGTTTGAGAGCCGGCAGCTCTCCAAGGTTTTGTGGAAGGCTGGAAAGCTGAGAGCAAAAAGCGATGTGCAAGCTCTCCAACTGTCTGAGGGAGGCCAGCTCCTTTGGCAGCTTAGTTAAGTTGTTGCAGCAGAAAAGGTTCAGCTCCCGCAGACCCGGCATCAGATCTGCAATGTCAGTGCGGAGAATCTTACGAGAGTGGACCCATCCAATTTCTAACCGTTGCAGATTGGTGCCTGGTGAGCCTGAAGGAAACAACTTGTAAAAAGATTCGCCGCAACTGACTTGCAGCGACGTCAGACAGGGTAGCCGTAGAGATGGGGAATAACGAGAGACATTGGCAATGGTGTCATTAGTTATGAAAAGACTGGAAAGGTTTGGAAGACGACAAAGGCCTAAGAATTGCCGAGTACTGAGGTCTTGTGAGGCTATGACGAGAGTGGAGAGAGAACGGAAACTGGCAAAACCTGGAGCTTCTAAAACATTGGAGTCTGTTAGTACAAGAGTGCGCATGCGAGTTAGTTGGAGGAAGGAAGGAGGCAGCTTGACATCTCGGTGGAGGCAGAAGAGCGAAAGCTGCTCCATTCCTGTGCACCGCCTGAAGAGCTGATCCAAACCAGCTTGTGTTACTGGATGCCGATCTTCAGTTATTGGATCTCCATAGCCTTCGAAGACAGCAGCAGTTTCGATGTCAAAGAGGTTGATCCTGCTTCCCACGTGCAGCGCCTTGAGCTTAGGGCAGGTGGAGGCGAGGTGAGCGAGGAACGCGTCGTCGATGCTCTCCACACTGCCGTCGTTCAAGTGGAGGTGGGTCAGATTCGGGAAACAACTGATGGCGTTGGCCAGATCTTCGCGGGAGACAACGAGATCCTCTCGGACAGAAAGGCTGCTGACGTGGCGCCGAGCGAGACGACGCCAGTCACGGGAGACGGAAGCGATGAGGAGATTCCATGCGGTGTCAGCGTAAGCAGGAGGTGCTTGCACGGGAGAGATGCTCTTCTCAGACCGATACGCACCAATGAAATTGGGCCATTGACTCAAGCACGTATACTCGTCGCTATCAGATTCGCCTACTACAGGCTGGCTGGTATGCCAGAATATTTTCACAAGGAGGTGAGTCGGAAGGTAGTTTATATGTGTGGACTCCATACTGCGAGATCGAGCACTTGGGTACTAATCTGGACGCGGACTGCTAAGGATGTAAACAAAGGACGGCTCTGGTAGGGCTCGGAAGGGCTCGGAAGGGCTCGGAATTCAAGAAGAGAAGCAGTTTCAGAACTTATAAAACTAATCATAGGCTCGATAGTTAAGGTCACTCCTGTTCTTCCTGACTAAGACGACCCCAGCTAGGAGCTACCGTTGCTACGACTGCGTGAAGTCGACTACTCACCTGGAGCAGCGCAACGCTGGGTCGCTGCCGGAGAATGCGTGCGCTGCGGCCAGCAAAATGCTCATTCACCTGGCCCTGTGCTTGCAGCAGCAGCTACCTCGAATCTACACGTGGCTTGACTACATCGCAGCGCGCAGTTCAGCTCCACATGCAGCTCGACGGAATTCGAGTCGCTAACAAGGCCAGCTCTTAGTTCAGACGTCGAGCTCTCCAGCAAGAGCAAATGGAATGGTCTGAGCTGAGAGAAAGCTGAGGTGAGGAGGAGGCTCTAGGGTTTGGTTGGGTTGCCTTGCCTGCCCAGATTTTCTTTTCCGCACAAGGCCTTCCGCCAATCTCGCCAACCTTCATCAGCTGCTTTGCGCGCCAGTGTCCCAGCCAGACCTGTCGCTAGGCCTGGGGACCACATTGCTGGGTGCGGGACGGACACGAAGACACGTTTGGCTAGGCCTAACTTGGTTTGGGAAATAGCGAAGACATCTATATTAGAACAGTCTTGGCTGCAAAATTCATTGAAATGTATAATATTCTGATAAATTTGTGTGACTCTAAAAGTTTGAACATGGAAGTGCAGAAGTCGAGTTAATGCATGCCACTAGCATTTTCAGATTCATAGGTTTTCATTTCAGCTGAAGATAAACGTTCACACCATACGTCGGATGACGAATACCCCCCGCACTGCACTGCACTCCACTGCATTAGGTAAATAATCAAATAGAATAAACAAATACAATAACATTCAAATAAGTAGAGTCTGGTGCTAAGACATTAAGCCGCAAGAGCTGTGTGGTATGCTAAATACTGTAACGACAGGTGCTGTGAACGACCTAAGGTGGCTTGCACAGGCGCATGCCCTTGTATAAGCGGTTGTTCGTACACACATAACCCGTGTTGTACTGGGCCAGTAATCGTGACGAGCTCTTGAAATACAGAGCAATGATGCGCGCACATGTGTCTCCTGTCACAACTGTGTACATCAAGTTCGTCACACATCGAGAAGCGCCGAGTAGCAGACTTGATTTCCCTCCGCGTACACACACCTGCACGCAGAGCAAGTGGAATTAGGACAAAAAAAGTTGGGGTGACTGGGGGATTGGAAAAGCTGGTGTGTGGAAAAGGAAGAGTTGGGGCGAATGAGGGGGGTGGGAGAGTGGGGAGCTCTTCTCATGTGCCACCTCCATTGGGCGCTCAGAGGCGGACGTGCAGCCCTCATTATGGTGTCATAGCTGTCGCCCTCTGCTCACACTGTCTCCCTCTTCTCATACTGTCGCCGTCTGCTCACACTTATTACCTGTTGGCCTAAAAGCATCTGTTCGCCCACGTTGCAGTTGATTCCTGGGTTCAACGTGTAGAACTCCTGGGCGCTGAGAGGTGGACGTGCAGCCCTCATTATTGTGTCACAGCTGTCGCCCTCCGCTACAGTCACAAACTCCTGGCACGCTGGCATGTCCGGTGTGCCATGCGCCACGCACACCTGCATGCACAAGAAACAGAGTACAATGAAGATATTGAGAAAGTCGGCGTTCATCAAGAAACAAGCCTGCAGCCTTTCACAAGCCTGCAGCCTTTCACAAGGCAGATCGCTATTCCACAAGAGGAGGGGTGCAAAAGAAATGCTGTGTTCTCAAGCATAGTTTATACTGATGCTCTCACATGTGCCTTGTGCACGCATGCTCTCACCCATGCCTTGATCACCCATGCTCTCACACATGCCTTACTCACCCATGCTCTCACACATGCCTCCCACCTCTTGACCATCCTGCAATCCCCACCTGTTGCCCTGCCTTTAGCCTCCCACACGGCAGGTCGTCATTTAGCTTGAATTGCGAGCAAGACATGCTGAACGCTGCTGCAAATGCCTTGAGCACCCATGCTCTCACACATGCATTGAGCACCCATGCTCTCACACATGCATTGAGCACCCATGCTCTCACACATGCATTGAGCACCCATGCTCTCACACATGCATTGAGCACCCATGCTCTCACACATGCATTGAGCACCCATGCTCTCACACATGCATTGAGCACCCATGCTCTCACACATGGATTGAGCACCCATGCTCTCACACATGCATTGAGCACCCATGCTCTCACACATGCATTGAGCACCCATGCTCTCACACATGCCTCCCACCTGTTGCCCGGCCTTTAGCCGTCCACACGGCAGGTCGTCGTTCAGATTGAGGAATTCCGAGCGAGTCATGCTGAATGCTGCAGCGATGCTCTCACACGTGTCATCCTGTCATTGGTCGCACGCACAGAAACAAACGGCGTGAGGGATTCCTAACCAGCAGAAACTAGCAGTGTCAGACTGCAGATAAAGAAAGCGTCTCCACAAGCATCGCACGACTTGTGAGGCACCTCAACAAAAGAAAACGGCGTGAGGGGTCCCTAACCAGCACTTTCAGACTGAAAATAATCGCAAAAGGGATCAAGCGTCTCTACAAGCATGGAATGAGCATTTCAGCATCGTGTAGAACGAATGCGGATCAATTACGGTGAACAGCTGTTTTGTGGACTCACAGTAGTGATAGTATAGGGAGTGCTTATGGGCTTACAGCGGTGACAGTGTAGGGAGTGGCGCACAGGGTGCCATCACTGACATAAATGTCGTCCCCAGTGGCAAGGCTGGAGCAGTTGAGCTTCTGGACGGGGGGTGGGGATTGGGATGGGGGGAAGAGGGGGGCAAACAAGCAAAGGACGACTGAGACAGGGACAGCATAGGGAGTGGCACACAGGGTGCCATCACTGACATAAATGTCGTCAACAATGACAAGGCTGGAGCAGTTTAGCTTCTGACCAGTCCATTCATTCACATGGGAGGAGGAGAGGGGGAACGAAGGGGAACGCACACAAGGGAAGGACGACTGGACGACTCATGAACAACGATCGGGGCCGGACACACGAAGAGAGAGCGATTATGGTCACAGTGGCCTCTGACATGCCAAATGTCGACCACACAATGTCACATGAAGCAGGCTATATGTATGTGGTGATGGTGCTGCGATGCACTAGTGGCAGGGACACATTGATGCATGGTGGCATGCGGGTCGAGTTTTGCCCACCGGGTTAAGCTGAGTGAAGTTGGCCTCTGACATGCCGAATGTCGACCGCACACTGTCACATGTCAGCCCTGGCACCACGTGGACCTCTGAGGGAGTGACACCTGGCATGGAAGGAGAGGAGGGAGGGGTGGGCGAGGGGGGTTCGGGCGGCATTGTTCTGACACCAGTTAAAAGCACACATGAAGGTGGGGGAGATTGGATGAGGAGGAGGCAATGTACTGAGTGGTGGACAGCTGAATGGGTTCTTCACATGAATGTAAGTAGAACCTTGATTTCCAAGCCTTTGACCTGGTAACATTTTGTGCGGTGAGAAGAAACGAGCAGGAACGAGAGCAGTACCTGGCACGCAGACAGGGGTTTCATCGGGTCTCTCGTCTGCCACAAACCCCGGTGGACACAAGCAGTTGTAGCCGCCCACCCCGTCATCCAGACATGTGCCAACCTGGCACGGGTTGGCTGCTGACATGGCGCACACGTGGACTGGCAGAGGGGAAGGGGTGGGTGGAAGGAACAGAGGGAAAGAACGAAGCGGAAGATGGGGTGGATGGCGGGGGGGACTCTTTGAGGGATGAAGGGTAGAGGATCCAGGGCATTCAGTGCTGAATTTACCTCAGAGAGAGGAGTGTGATGCTGGAATGCAGGCATACCAGCATCACACTAAAAGCACTGAAAGCACATGTGGTGGACTGGCGTGGTGGTGGGAAAGGTAATTTTATGGGGCGGGGACTGTGGGTTGTGTGACCTAGCCTACTCTTTTTTTGCTGCTCACCCGGAATGCATGTCTCAGATCCGTCGATATTCTTGGCAGCAGTGAACCCAGGTGCACACGCACACTTGCTCTTCCCCGCACGGTTACTGCACTTGCCGCTGCCACACGGGTTGATGGGCTGACAGGGGTGCGAACCAGCTACCACTGGGTATAAGGCAGGAGTGGTGCTGATGCCACAGATGCCGTTGCCTGTATGTGGTGTGGGGGATGGGGGGGTGGGGAGAGGAGATGGAGAGATGGATAGGGGCAATGGAGGAATGGATAGCGCCACACGGGTTGATGGGCTGACAGGGGTGCGAGCCAGCTACCACTGGGTATAAGGCAGGCGTGCTGTTGGAGCCACAGATGCCGTTGCCTGTATGTAGGTTGAGGGGAGATGGAGAGATGGAGAGGCGGATAGGAATCATGGTATGGACAGTGAGAGTTGAGTGGTGCATTGAGGGGCCATGTGGGTGGATAGAGTGGTAGAGGTGACTGGTCAAGAGGGCACGTAGAAAACTATGAATCAATCACGCTGGGAAAGAGGGAGTGAAAATAAGTACGCGCGTTTGCTTTCCATTCTGTCACATTCAAAATATTATGCTTTCGGTCAAAACACTAACAACCCCTGGACTTGACAGGGCAACACTTAAGCTACTTTATTTACTTCCGTTCTACGCAAAAACCAACAAAAAGAAGCATAAGAAAGATGTACCTGCTTCAATGGCCATCTGCATGAAGCCGCCCTCGCCCCAGGTGGATCCCCAGGTGTTTTGGAGAATGAAGTAGGGCGTCACTCCCACCATGCTGTACCCCACCAGCAGCACGATGTGATTCACCACTCCATTCGCGAAACAGTCTGGGTCCGCATAGATGAAGCCCTGAAGGGTGTGGAGAAGGGAAGAAAGAGACTCGTGAGGCCCTCAATAGTCCCCTCTATTCGCGAAGCAAGCTGGACCCGCGTAATTGAAGCCCTGAAGGAATTAGGGCTGGAGGAGAGTTGATGGAGGGAGAGAGTCGAAGGAGAGCAAGAGAAGGTGTTGTGAAGGATGAAGTAGGGCGTCACTCCCACCATGCTGTAACCCACCAGCAGCACGATGTGATTCACCACTCCATTTGCGAAGCAATCCGGATCCGCATAGACAAAGCCCTGAAGGTTTTAGAGTTGAAGGAGAGCGAAAGAAAAGGGTGACTTCTTAGCCAACTCAAAAGCAATCTGGATCCGCACAAATGAAGCCCCAAAGGGTAGACTTGAAGGAGAGAAAGAGAAAACAAAGGTCCAATCAGCACGATTAACCTCTGGAAACACCTTACCACTTCTTGGGGGACTTTTCGGTAATCTTGGACTTTTTCTTCCCACTGCATTGATTGATCTCCTTCCTCCATACATTTCCCTTCCCCGCCTGGCAGAACTTCCTTGCTCTTCCCCGTGCATGGCTTGCTCTTTCTGGCGTGATGTACCGTCATCAGCCTCGCCCCCAAAGTATGCTACCGCCCTCCTTCACACCTCAACAGTTGCTAGATTTCTCTCTGTCAGTCACTGCTGATGGTTGCACCACTTACAACTTGGCCCCATTCTGTTACACGATGTACAGCTGAACTCACCCCCTGGTAGTTGATAAAGGAGAGTTGATCCGCCTCCACGTTGGCAATGATTGGCTGTGCCTGCAGCGCCAGCACCATTCCCAGCCAACCGGGGACCGACACCTGTCACGTCACAGCAGCAAGCAGTACGTGAAGAGGCACCAGGGAAGCACAGGTAGTAGGTGGGGTGATGTGAGGAGGAACACAACACAACAGCTGGGTTGAGTGCGGTGACAGGGGGTCAAGCCAGTTCAGCCCACCTGTCCGCTTCTGTACAGCGAGCCATGTGTATTGAGCCCAGCAGACTACAGCTGGGTGGAGTGTGGTAACAGGGGGTTCACGCTGATTGAACATACCTGTTCGAACATGGAGATGGCGAAGCGGCCAGAGAGGGGGTGGATGCCGGGCACTTGAGGTGGGAAGGCAGGGGGAGGAGGGGAGGAGGAAGGGGGAACCGGGGTGGTAGGGGGCAGCTTGGGTGTCTGAATCGGCCTTCTGAGCCGCCGGAAGAGTTGGGAGAAGAGGGAGGAGAAGGATGGGGAGGGGTGCGTGCGCTTGTCGTCGTCTTCATCGTCCTTTGTAACCAAAGGTGAAGTTGAAGTTGAAAGTGCTGAAGGTGACGTTGAGGCTGAAGCTGAAGTTGAAGATGCTGACGTTTTGCCTGCTGATGTTTTGACTGCTAAAGTTAATGTTGATGTGGGTACGGCACGCTCGGCTGCCCCCCGAACCAGCGCTTGCCGCCCTCTGCCAGCAGCAGCAGTAGTAGCAGCAGGCTTGGAAGGTGATCGGTCTCCCCTAGTTCGTGATTTCGCAGGCCCGGCAGAAGGTTTGGCAGCAGGCTTGGAAGCTGAGGTTGAAGCCTTGACAGCATGCGCTGCAGCCTTCTGACGCTGCTGCTTCAAAGGCCCGGAAGCAGGCCCGGTGAGAGGTTTGGACAACGCCTTGGTGGGAGGTTTGGTGGTAGGCTTGACAGCTGCAGGTTGTGGTTTGGACTGACGCGAGTTGCGTTTGGCAGCAGCTGCAGGCTTCAAACTTGTTGGGAGAAGCTGAGGGGGAGGGGCGGGCAGGAGAAGAGGGCAGGGAGAGGCCAAAGGCAGGTGGCTCAGGCAGGTGGCTGTTCATTTCCTCTCTAAGCAGGAAGCAAATATCCGTAATCATTGGTTTCAGAGTGTGCCCAGGAGGACCAACATTAACTTGCACACACTCACTCATTGAGCTGCCCACCTTGCAGTCACTGGCGTTCACCACTCCCGTATACGGCACTGCTTTCTCCGGCGATACCCCTCCCACAGCCGCCACAAACTGGAACGCGTCCGCCGGGATGCCACCTGTGCACTGCCACGTGCCCTGACAGCTCAGCACCTGCTGACTGGACAGGTTGGGATGGTTGGCGCCGTATGCTATCGCATAGGCTGCCTCTATTGCAGCCACTGGTACCAGAGCCCAGCAGGCAGCTGATTGAGGAAAGGGGGAGACGGGGGGGGAGAGTGAGGAGACAATGCGTAAGGAGAAGGAGATGGGAGAGTGGTTGCATGGTTGGCGCCACATGCTATTGCGTAGACTGCCTCTATTGCTGCCACCGGCACCAGAGCCCAGCAGGCAGCTGACAGCGGGGGGAGGGTGGGGGGGGAGCAGAAGCGATGCAGAAGGAGAAGGAGGTTGGGATGGTTCGCACTGTATGCTCTGGCAAAGGCTGCCTCTATTGGGGAGAGGGGGAGGGGGTGGGGAGGGGAGAGAAGATGTGGAATGAAGGAGAGGAAGAATAGTTGCATGATTGCTATCGCATAGGCTGCCTCTATTGCTGCCTCTGGCACCAGAGCCCAGCAGGCAGCTGATTGGGGAAGGGGAGGGGGGGGGGGGGGAGGGGAGGGCGGAGAGAACATGCGGAGAAGGAGGGGAATAATAGCTGCATGGTTGGGGCGAATGCTATGGCATAGGCCGCCTCTATTGCTGCTACCGGCACTAGAGCCCAGCAGGCAGCTGATTGGGGAAGGGGGGGGAGTGGCGAGGTGGAATGAGAAGGAGGAGTGTTGGCATGGTTAACCGCACACAAGGTTAGGATGGTTGGCGCCATATGCTATGGCATACGCTGCCTCTATAGCTGCCACAAGCACCAAATCCCAACAGGCAGCTGATCGGGGCGGAAGGGGGGGCAGTGGGGATGTGGAAGGAGAAGGAGGAGAGCTGGCATGGTTGGACACGCACAGAGTTAGGATGCTTGGCATCGTATGCTATGGCATACGCTGCCTCTATAGCTGCCACAAGCACCAAATCCCAACAGGCAGCTGATTATGGAGGGGGGCCCGGGGGAGGAGGGAAGTGGAGATGCAGAAGGAGAAGGAGAGGGAGAATAGTTGGCGTGCGTGGTTGGAATTGGAAGCGCACAGCACAGTCGGTTGACTCAGCTGCTTCCATCAAATCGTTTTCATGCCCCTCAACTCAAGCCACATATAGCTGCACCAGTGCTGCATGATTCACATTCCTTTCTGTCTATTCACACCCATCCCCTCGTTCACCACGCACCTCCCTTCCTTCATCAGCTACCACTGGCCCGAGCCTTGTACCACTCACCGCATAAGCCCTGGTCTTTCACGGGAGGCACCACCGTCACGTTCCTCCCTCACACAACCACCAGCCCTCGCCAGTCCACCACCTCTCGGTACGCCCAACAAGGCTGGGCAGCTGTGCCGGTGAACCCCAGGCTCACTTGCTTCCATCAAACCGTTTCGAAGTGACTTAAACCACCGCCACCAGAGCTGCACCATTCACATCAATCTCTAACTATTCATGACCCGGTGTCCCATTTCTCACTATTCACCCTTCCTCCCTCACCACTCACCGCACAAGCCTTGGTCTTTCACAGGAGGTACCACCGTCACGTTCCTCCCTCGCACGAGCACCAGCCCCCGCCAGTCCACCGCCACTCTGTACGCCCAAGAAGGTTGCGCAGCTGAGCCATTGAATCCCAGGCTGACGTGGCGGAAGAAGCGGTTGAAGCGGGAGGGGGTGGTTGCCGGCACGGCCTTGAAGTCTCGGTCTCTCAACCCCGGCCGGTGGCGCTGCTTCTGTGGGTCGTCTGAGTGGAGGGGACCGTTCAAGATGGGGAGAAGGGGAATTTGAGCAGAGTTTGAGTCGAATCAGAAGTGCGAGGGGGGGTCGCCGGCACGGTATTTAAATCCCGGTCTCTCAACCCCGGCTTGTGCCGCTGCTTCTGTGGGTCGTCTGAGTGGAGGGAAAGGCAATATGGGTGGTTGCTGTCACGGCCTTTCAATCCCTGTCCCTCAACCCCCCGTCTTCATGGAGGGGAGGGGAGCAAGATGGGGAGAAGGGGAACTTACAGACACAGACACACATGCGCATACACATGCACACACACACACATGCACACACACATGCACACACACACACATGCACACACACATGCACACACACACACACATGCACACACACACACACACATGCACACACACACACACACATGCACACACACACACATGCACACACACATGCACACAGACACACACACATGCACACACGCACACATGCACACACACATGCACACACACATGCACACACACACACACACACATGCACACACACATGCACACACACATGCACACACACACACATGCACACACACATGCACACACACACACATGCACACACACATGCACACACACACACACATGCACACACACACACACATGCACACACACACACACACATGCACACACACACACATGCACACACACATGCACACACACACACACATGCACACACACATGCACACACACATGCACACTCACACACACACACATGCACACACACATGCACGCACACACACACATGCACACACACATGCATACACACATGCACGCACACACACACATGCACACACACATGCACACATGCACGCACACACACACATGCACACACACATGCACACACACATGCACACACACACACACATGCACACACACACACATGCACACACACATGCACACGCACACACACATGCACACACACATGCACACACACACACACATGCACACACACACACATGCACACACACATGCACACACACATGCACACACACATACACACATCAAGGCTTACCTGCATCTGAGGTGTGTCCGGTGGAAAGGGAGGAGGGGGGTTTTGAGGCTTAGTTGCCGAACATGTGATGCGAAGGAAGACTTACACACGTGCACACACACACATACACACACACATACACACTCATACTCACATACACACTCATACTCACATACACACTCATACTCACATACACACTCATATTCACACACTCAAACACAATCATCATGGCATACCTCCATCCAATGGTATATCTGGTGGAAACGGAGGAGGCGGATTCTCAGGCTTAGTCGCCGAACAAGTAGGGTAACCACCCCCTTTCATCTCCACCGTATCCTCATAATACCCCTCCTCACACTCACACACGGGCACTCTTGAGGGCCCCTTGAGAAAGCACCTCCCATGCCCCCCACACACTCCTTGTGCACTGCCTACCCCACAAAACGCCAGACACTCCCCCTGCTTCCGCTGCCTCCCCTCCCCCTCGCACCCTCCCCCTCCTCTCGGGTTGAGGCAGTTCCCCCGCACTGAACCGTACTGAGACGGACTATAAAGGAGCAGATTTGCTGCTGCGAAGCCTCCCTGCTGGTCCTCCGGGCAGAAGGAAAGCTTTCCAGCCGAGATTTCGGCACGGGCAGAACCTGTGAAGAAGTTTTTTTCGACGTTGAAAGTGGCGAGAGGGAGAGAGGCGAGGGAAGGGGAGGAGAAACCCGAAGGGAGGGGACCAGCGAACTCGTTATTGGATATGTCGCTGTTAGGGAAATGGGGGCAAGGGAGGGGTGGGGAGGAGCTGTTTTTCTTTCGGATTTCTCAAAACCAGGACCGGGGAACTCATTGTTGGATTGCATATGTCCCTGTGAGGGGGAACGGGAAAGGGAGGGACGTGATATTGTTTCGAAGCAACTCGTTACTGGTTATGTTCGTGCGAGGGGTGAACGGAGGGGAGGGAGGCTGGAAACGGGAGTTGTGATGGCTGGAGCAGGACCGATGAATAGAACTGGAGGCAGTTTGGGGGAGAGAGGAGGTGGAGGGAGAGGAGAAGGTTGAGGAGGGGACGGAACCCAATAGGTCAGTCATTGTTGAAAACGTCATTGTGAGGGGTACAGTGGGGGAGAGGGGTGGGGTTGAAGGGAGGGAGGGTGGGGGTGGGGGGTGGGGTTGGTTAAAGGGTTTGCGGAAATTCGTTGAGGTGGTCTTGAGGCAGATTGTCAGTTGTTGAAAAACGGGTGCTTTTTTAGAAATCCTTCCTATTTGAGAATCCGAACGACTGTAGTCTGTAGGCATTCGAGAACAAACATGCGAGCACCATCCGCAGCCCACGTGTCTTGTACTGACAGCTCCTGCACCGTCCGCTCGAGGAGCAGTGTGAACCGAGTGCAAGGTAGCACACGAGGCGAGCAAGAGAGAACGAAGTAAGCCTATCCAGGGTTTCGACGAGAGTCTCAGGCCAACGTACAAGTAGACAAGGGTGGGCAGGTTGAGAAGTGATGGCGGCAGGTCGCCCGAGAGGCGATTCGTGCTTAAGTCCCTGGAAGAGGCGGAGAGGCACAGAAGGATGGAGAGCCGTGATGTGTGAGCGGGGCGGGGAGGCAGTGTTGGTGAAGTGGGGAAGGTAGTGCAAGTGGAGCAGCTGTGAGGGAAGGAAGGAGTGCCTGCCAGCGATCGCTGGGAAAGATTGATGGCTGCTGGTGCAAGGCGAAGGGACAAGAGTTAGGCGGGTGTGTGTGTTTGAGTCAGCGGATGCGAGGAAGCGAGCAGGCAGGGGTAGCCTGTGCAGCAAATTAAGGGGGTTTTTAAGCCAAAGAAGAAGCACCACCGATGCCGCATGGTACACACACAAATGCCTGAACGAAGAACATGCACTCAACATGTCTATCAGCCACACCACACCTCCTCTCCACCACCACATTACCAAACAATCCTGTCAATGGTTTACCACTCACTCTGTAATACACATGGTACCACGCGGTTTAAGACATTCCCTGCTAGGCACCCCACTTACAGCGCCTCAAGAGTTGTGATGCTCCCCAGCCCAGCTGGGATTGTCTCCGACAGCTCGTTGTCACTCAGAAGGCTGCGGCACAAATGCATACGGGCACAACTTAGTCCTTAAGATATGGTCACAGTGAGTCCACCTTTGACCGTACTGCCGCAACAGACGCAGCACCAGAAATCGTCAATGCACATGCATACACATGTACACCTTCACACTACATGTGTCTGCAAGGACACGGGCGCACACACTAACGAGTACTTGATGATAAGAAGGTAAGGGCGTCTCAAAAGCAGTACAAGTGCACTTTACGCCTCAACAGAAACTAGGACTCACAGGTACTTGAGGGCTTGGAGGTTGGAGAGCGGGGCGGGAATGGGTCCTGACAGCTCGTTTCTGCCCAGAGACCTGACAGGGATTGGGGTTCGGGTTTTGGGTTTCCGGTTTAGGGTTTGAGGTTTAGGCTTTCGGGTTTGGAGTTCGGAATTTGGGTTTTGAGGTCTGAAATGAGGTATAGTGTTTCGGGTTTCAGGTTAAGGTTTCGAGGTAGGGTTTAGCAGGGTCCTCAAAAACTTTTGTTAAAACCCGCGGGCCAAGATATTCAAGCTTAGGAAGGTTGGTTGGGAGTGAGGACGGTAATCGCCCGTGAGCCAATAGGAGTGTCGAAGTTGTTGGACGAGGTGGTAGAAACTCGGGATAATCACAGGCGATTTTGGGACACCCAACCAACACTAGAAAGGATGAACCAAATTTGGCCTTCTTGGCCCCCGGGTATTAGGAACACATGCGGCCTCACAAGCTGTACAATACATAGATAGTTGCAAGCATTGTATTGGTCGTTTTTGCATCATGCTTACAGTAGGGTTAGTTGGGTCAGATTTCCTATAGCATCCAGGAGAGCCCTCTACACGTGGAGCCTCACTCACATGTTGTATGTCAGTTGGTCCTAGGGTTTACAGCAGGGCCTCACATGTTATCATGTCATGCTTACAGCAGGGTTAGTTGGGTCAGGTTCCCTATAGCATCGAGCAGAGAGCCCTCTAACGAGTTATCGTTGAGATTTCTGAAGAGGAAGGGAGGAGGGAATGGAAAGAAGGAAGGTGGAGGGGGGGGAGGGGGGGGGTTTGATGTTGAGGGATTGGAGAAGTAAAAATCGTTTGGCACTTGGAAGATTAGCAGACAGAAAGAAAGGAGAACGAGACAAAGCGGTGGGAAAAAGTTGCACTCTGGAAGTTGTGATTCACGCGATGTGGTGGAACGAGGCGATGTGAGCAAGTAATGAAGGGAACCCCTCAGACGAGTCAGACTTGCTGCGGTCACTGCGAGCGATCTCGTCCCGCATGGGGCCACGTGGCGTGCGCGTGGCCCCATGCGGAACGAGCGCATCAGCATTCGCTGTGGATGTGCGTGAGCGAGACCCACAGACACACAGACCCACAGTTGTTGAAGCGACGTGAGCGTGAAGAGTGCGGACGGAAGCGACCCTTCCAGATTCCCGTTGCTGAGGTCCCTGTGGGGAGTTGGGGGCAGGGGCGAGGGATATGAAGGCTATTTTGAGTCGACTCAAAGTCATCTTGTCGAAGCGACGTGAGCGTGAAGAGTGCGGACGGCAGACACCCTTCCAGATCCGTGCTGCTGAGGTCACTGTGGGGGGAGCGGGAAGATGGCGGGGCGTTGGTGATTTGCGTCGACTCAAAGTCAACGGACGGCAGTCAACGGACGACAGTCAACGGACGACAGTCAACGGAGCGGGGAGTGGCGGATTGGGGAGCGGGGAGACGGCGGATCAGGAAGTGGGGAGACGGCGGATTGGGGAGCGGGGAGACGGCGGATTGGGGAGCGGGGAGTGGCGGATGAGGGAGCGGGGAGACGGCGGATCAGGGAACGGGAGGTGCCGGTGAGCGGGGAGATGGCGGATGAGGGAGCAGGGAGAGTTGGATGACGAATGAGGTAACGCAGTTGAGTGAGAAAAACGAGGGGACAAAGTCAATCCCCCTTGCGTTATAGCTTCCCCGTTTTGTTGAAAAATTGCGCGTTGCAATGGCTGGCTGAAAACTCACACGGTTGTAACAAACCCCTCCTTATCGCACGACACGCCACTCCACTTCGAGCAGTCCCAGTCATCCTGCCACGTGGCAGTGGTAACAGAGGGCCACGTGGCGGCGATTGATTGGAGCGCGGGCACTGTCCTCCAGGCGGCGGCATGGGAGGGCGGTGCAGAAGGGGAGTGGGGGGTTGCGGAGAAGGAGGTTGGGGGGTGGGGGAAGTGGGGGAGGGGGGTAAGTTACGCAAAGGGCCCGTGTACCCCAAGGTTCACAATGGGGATACCCCAGTGAGCGTTACCCCTAGGACTCCGATTCTCTTGTGACAAATGTGAATGGGAGGGCGGAGACAGTTTGAAAGGGGAAGGGATGTAGGAGAGGAACAGGCATGCGTGTGAGGAGGGCGGAAGAAGCCGCAGCGCGCGGAGAAGGGCGGAGAGGAGGGGAGTGGAGGCAAGGAGCAGAGGAATCTTACGTTGCGACTCGTGCACCAGTTGAGCTGACACTAGATGGTACCTCCCCCCGCAGGCTGCCACTGCTACCGTCATCGCAACAAGCAGGCGCAACAAGCGATCGAGCCAGTTCGTCAAACCCCATCTACTCGAGACCCCCCTCGATTTGACCCCATCCGCGAAGGTCCTCATTCTGAGCCGCCTCACTACCAGAGCTTGCAGCTGCCTCGATCCCCGTTGCTGATCCGCGAATGACGTCGGAAGTCGCGCCCAAAGGCACGGCCGGGGACGCGACGAGAGGAACGGCGAGAGAGGCGGTGACCGCGCTGCGCTTTCTACCGCGCCGCAGAGTCTGGGTGAGCGGCGGTGCTGGCGCCATGCTGCATTCTGCGATCGTCTCGGCGACAATTTTCCAAGATGTAACACTTTTGCCTGTTTCGCCAAGAATTTGCTGTAGTCTTTTACAGCATGGTGGCCACGACGACACTTTTCTGCCATAAAGCTCTACTCGCACAGGTCGACGTGATCAGGCGCACACAAACGGCGCACTAGTGTATTTCTCGCTAAGCGTGTTCGCCGCTAATAAGCTATCATCATGTCTCTAATATGTTGCTTTGCTGTACAAGCCTGCGGGAACGCAGTGCTGCTCTCCGAGCGGCAGAATCGCTGCTACAGTGAAGCGCTGCTAGCCCGATGCGCTTCCAAACGTTTCTTATTACTCGCTCCTAAGCCGGTTATTGAAATCTCGGCGCAGCGAGCCCTCGCAACCTACGTTTCGTTTGAACGGCAAAGTTCTTTCCGCCGAAGGAGAGTTTGTAGTGCTAACGCTGAAATACGGATTGAAATTAAGATAGGCAGTGGCGGAGGGTCCTTCACTACTATTACGGCTCGTCGTCACAGTGCTACAGAATGAGATAGGCAGATAAGGCGGTTGGCGCTCCGCGAATGGCTGTAATGAAGCTTGCCTCCACGATTGCTACTCCGACAACCAGCAGTTAAACGAGTCTGGTCAACGCTTTTCGCAGGGCGGTATTGGACCCAGATGGGCAAGTGAACGACGATCTGACTGGTCAACGATACTAAAATGCATCTGTTCGGTCCACTTTCGTAAACACGAGGGCCTGCTGCTCAGTGTAACGCAGGTGGAGCTTTGCTATGCCAATGCCTGTGCCTCGGCTCGCGAAGCCGTCGATAGACGATGACGGAACGGAGCGCGTGGCCTTACTTGTTTATGCTCGTCTGTTTGATACCGAGGAACGCAACTGACGGAGGGGAAAAATGCTCATCCATGCTCGACAGGCGGTGGTGATTGTCTGTCAGGGAGGAGCAAGAAGTCAGCACGGCCACAGCCACTGCCCATTTGCACTTGTGTGATTGGCAAGGAGGAGACCAGTTCGGTTTGGTTTGGACATCAAACGCTGGCTTCACGAAATTCAAATGTCGGTGGATTGTGCGGTGCGGTAATTCTGACGAGGCGCCTGCCACAAGCATTGCGACGCGCTGGAATGATCAAACACCCAAGTTCGGCTCGGTTTCGTTTGGTTCTATGGGGTTTAGTTCATATTATTTCTCCACTTCCTTCGTCACAACTCACGAAAGCAACTCACCGTACGAAGGGTGTCCTGTAACAGACGACTTCGCTTTGCCTTTCGCTGTCCACTCCACACCAATCGATATGGATGGTCATTGGTGGAGCTAGTGGCGGGAGATTGCATTATTGCATCTCCAGATTCCCCTGTCGATAGTTGAATTATCTCCTAAGCCCTCGTCAGATTATTGCCTTTCTCCTAGGCCGCGTTGAATTATCGCCATTCGAGCGTATAGGAAGGGAGGTGTGCGAATTACGCGTACAGACGTCACTGACTGGTTGACGAGCCATTCACCTTACTGGTCGGCTCCTCCGCGCACTTCCTCTTAGGCTTGAATTCCCGTACACGTATGAAAACGATTTCTCGTGACATTCCCCTGTGCACCCCAATGGATAGTATGGATCCTCGAGTAGAGCGATTGGCGGGAGGATTGCATTATCGCAACTCCAGATTCAGGCGGATTATGCGGGTATTTGAATTATTGCCTCCTATAAGACGCGAATGATTTTTTGCTTATTCGCGAGGTGTCTGATTTATCCGTACTAGTAAACGATTGGCTGGCGGCCCATCTACTGGTCGGTTCCTCCTCGCGCATCCTCGTACTAGGCTTGAAATCACGTACACATATACTCCGCACCATCCATGAAGCAAACTCAGAGCTTTACAGACTAATCAGCCGCCTTCTCTACCACCTCTTGAAGTCGATTTCGTCACCATGCCGCTGTTGGGATTCCTTTTTGTTCTGGCCTTGTCTTGCGGGCTGCGTGGCAGCGAAGGAGCTCGGCCCGGGGACTGGCTGTCTTCAGCCAATCACGTGGAGCCTCGACATGAGAGCGCCGATCGACGTGAGACGCCGCGTTCATAGGCACGAATATCATCGCTCAGAGTGTGCGAGGAGATGAGGACTAGCAGATGGTCCCGCTTCTCCTCCCACGAAGATCACCAGCTATCACCTATCACCAGCTATCACCTTTCCGCCACCTCTAGCTGTCTCTGTTATAATGTCCAGGAACCAGCTGTACAGTACCGACGCCTCCCTCTTCTGTTGCTCCTTCCAACTGCTCAACCTCACGCAGATTCCACCCGCTTTCCGCTTACTAGCTTTCTCCCTCTTACGCCGGCGCCTCCGCCTTCTGTTTGCTCCTTTCCGCTCTGTTTTTTTTTTCACACTCCCTCCGAGTCTGTCCCCTTACAGTCGCAGATCAGCAATTTGTCTTTGGGTATTGAATCTTCAAACTCATGCCTCGAAACTTCTCCCAATCCTTTCCCCGATTTATCCCTTACAGGCGGACTCGCGGTAGACCAAGCTTCGTTCACCGGGCGGCACTCGGTTCCTGCGACTGGTGACTCTGGCAATCCGCGCTCTCGCTTGCAAGTACGACAGGACACTCCAGTGCAGCAAAAACTGCAGCAGCAGGCGCAGCAGGAGGAGAAGCAGCAGCTCGCTGAGCAGCTGGAGGCGTCAAACCTCGCGACGACGCACTCCTTGAAGAGAAAGCTGGCAGTTCAGGAGACGAAACCCCAGGAGGCGCTGACGGAGGAGCAGAAGCTGCGGAAGAAGCAGCAGCGGGAGAAGCTGAAGAAGCGGCTGGAAGTGGAGAAGGCGGCGCTGAAGCAGTGGCAGGGGATGACGGAGGAGCAGCGGCTGGCGATGCATGAGGGAGTAATCACTAAGCGGCAGAAAGAGGCGGAGCAGAAGCGGCAGGAGCATGTGACAAAGCAGGAACAGGTGAAGGAGAAAAATCGGCTGAAGATGCAGAGGCTGAAGGATAGGCAACAGGGGCATGAGGATCCGGAGCCGGAGAGCACTGAGCCGGAGAACACTGAGCCGGAGAATACGAAGAAGGAAACTGCGGCGCAGGAGAGTATAGAAGATCCGGAGCAGAAGAATTCGGAGCAAGAAAACTCGGAGCCGGACTGGCAATGGCAATTCGAGCCGGATATGACTGATGTTGATAATGCAAGGCGGGAAAGCGAGTATCTTTGGTTGTTGACAGTTCAGCGGGAAGAGGAGAAGCAACAGGCGAGGCAGGATCAGGAGCTGAAAAGGAGAGGTGGGAAAAGATGAGGCAGGAACAGGAAGGGCAGATTAGGCAGGAACAGAATAGGCAGGACCAGGAAAGGCTGGCTAGGCTGGCGAATCAGGCGATTCCGAAACAGGCAAGTCCCGACCAGGCGAATGCGGAACAGGCGAATCTGGCGACTTCGGACGAGGGGAACGCAAATCAGGCGAATGCGGAGGCGGGAAATGCGGGAGAGGGGAATACGGAGGAGTATAATAATTGGCTGGATGAGCAGCGGCAGCTGAAACTAGAGGCGGAATATGAGGAGCGGCTGAGGGACCAAGTGGCGTATGATCAGATGATTTGGGATCAGGACATGGCGGCGACGCAGCAGGGTTATTTAGACAGTATGGCGTTGGAAAAG